TTCGGAGGCCCTCACTATTCTAGATGGAGTTGGTCGATTGCCGTCCATCTCATTATCACTTCACAGCATCCAAGCAGATTTCGGCATTTGCCGGGCAGGAGCGCCGAGGAAGAAGGAACCTCAAAACAAGATATGCGAACGCCATACATAACGCACTGCGGTTTATTCAAGCTGTCAGTAAACATATACAAGACACAAAGTGCGCAGGGAGGAGGAGAAGAATAAATGTTTCGCGTCTTGAAGTTGCTCCTGCGCACATTCCGTTTTTGGAACAGTACTCGCCTTTTAGTCTCATACCATTCTTGCAGTGATTAGGCTGCAGTGTGCTACGAGACAAAGTAGATGCGCGAGCATGTTTGAGGACAAACTTATTGAGAGACGCAACCTATTGCCACCGACAGCTTAAAAAAAGGAAAAAAAAAAGTAGTGAAGGAAAGAAGCCTTCACGCTTTCCTTAAGATATTGGGAAATACTAATGAAACTTAATTTTCACACCTCCCCAATTGTCCAGTGACGGCCCTATCGCGTTTTCTGTGGGCACACGTCGCTTGCCGTTTTCGATTTGTTGCTACAGAAAACGTATAAACAGTAGTTTGGCTTCCCGATGAATAAAACATGAAGGCTCAAGGTCGCGCCTTTCTTGGTGATTGTCTTAAATTTGTCACGTCAATTAATATCCCGACCGAGTTAACCAATCAAAAGCCAAGGACGGGCCACGTCGGTGTGATTCTAAGTAAGTTGAACTAATCGTACCACGGGGATTCTGACGCCAAGTTTTTCGGTTGTGTCCACCAGCACGAATGGACGGGTGCTTCTGCAATGAATCTGTGCATTTATCTAATGATACGGCTTTTTCGAACGAACCAGTATCCAACGAGCCAGAGTGAGAGTGCTTGAACTGATTGCACAACACTGCTAATTACAGCGGCTTCCACTAGGCGCGGCTTCTAGAGTTCCTTGGTTACTGAATGCTTCGGTGCACCGACGTGAATTACCAAAAAGCTATGCCCTACGATTAAACTAATTGCACACTCTCATAAAGCAAAAAGAAAAAAAAGAAAGTAAAAGAAGTGAACATTATTGTTAGCATGCTGCAATGTTTATTTATTATTTGTAGTATGCTTTCAAAATACGGTAAGTGTCGTATTGTTTTTTCGTGGAGTTAATGCAGCCAACCCTCGCAAGACGCTAACAAGTACACAATTAAAATGTATTTTAACACATCATGAGTAAATTCAAAACACACTTGAAATATACCGTACCAGTTATACGCTTTGCTTTGTACAAGTTTCCGTTTTGCACGCTTTCGAGGTACTGCTTTCTCTCAAATGTTTGGTCGCCCTAACCTTACCCAAGTAGATAGGAGTTACTCCGGGGGGTCACATCCCCCCATCCCTGGACAACACAAGTAGGCCAATGCTGAACGCGGGTAGCGTTTTGCGCACCAGAGTTACTCAACCTTCCTTGGGATGTCGAGTTTAGTAATTGCAGCACGGGCCGCGGGTCAAGAGAGCCAAGAACAAACAGGCGTGCTCACCGGCCTCCAATTTCACCGTGCACGCAATCTTCGAAGTTTAACTCAAGGTTCCCTATATCATGAATAAAAAGCGTTTCCATAATATTGACGAAGAGAGTCGATGCCAAACTGGAGTTCACGAGCTGGAACGATCGAGCGTTTACTTTTTTTTTTTGTTTTTTGCTCTTTTTAATTCCCAAGGCGATTTTTTTCGAAGCCTTTAGCCGTTTCGCGAGGGCGGAGAACCCTGCTACGTACGGGGCTTTCGGTTTCTTTTTCAGTATGGACGTACAGGGCGCCGCCGTCAGGAACAACACATATTTTTTCGCCTCGCGAAATTCGAATTCCAAATGTGCATTCCTGAAAATTGGGCAGGCGAACGTAGTTTCGCAAGAAGTTTTATATGTATTTTTTTTTTAGAACTCAATTCGGGAGGGAGCGAAATATTCAAAAATAAGCCACAATCGGAGGCCTTGTATTTCCCATGCTCTATACCGGCCTTTTTGTCGTCTGCACACAGGCTTATCAAATCGCTCCCGCGGGTGCCTTGCTGAACGCAAGAACACGTTGAGTACCAATAGTAGAAGCTGGGGATGAGCCAAATAATCGCGATAATGAAGCTAAAGTTGAGGCTTGGGCGAGTTGGTACATACTTCGGAATTAAAAACAGCGCGAAAAGACGAGGGCCAGACAAAGAAGTAACACGGACGCAGCGCTGCGTTCGTGTTACTTCTTTGCCTGGTCCTCGTCTTTTCGCGCTGTTTTTAATTCCGAAGCGATAATGAATACTTTTAACGATATATACGTACAATCACCACCTCGGAGCAAGGCTACAAACCAGCGTGCAGACGACCAACATCGGTATAGGGCATAGAAAATGCACGACCGCCGCTTTTACTCCTTTGTTTTTATATTTTATCACCTCTGAATTGGAGCTCTGAAAAAAAAAAAAAAGGTATAGATATAAACCTTCTTGAGAAATTGCGTACGCGCGCCCAATTTCAGGCATGTACGTTTGGAATTCCAATTTTTCGAGGCTTGCCAAATGTGTTGGTCCTTGCTGCCGAACCCTCTATACAGATTTTGAGAGCTCGTCATCCAGGAAAAAAGTACCTAGTGGCTACTGCGCATCTTCGAAACGTGTTTACAGCCTAGTCGAGAAACGTGGCAACGTGCAGAAGACAATTATATGAATAGTCCGGAGGATAAAGGAGTAAAGTGGTGTACCGAAGCGGCACGCCAACGAGCGTCTCCCTCGAGATATGAACCCTCCCGTGGCAAACATGTCAAAGCCACGCGTTCAGTCTTTCCACGGTCGGGGCATCAAGTATATATACACCAAAAAAACGCGAGCTCGATGACAAAGTGCGCATCAAGGCCGGCTGACAGGACAGACTGATTACGGCTTGCTGAAAAGAGGCTGTATACTTTGTGTCACCCTACGATGGACCGAAGTCCAAAGCTCTGGGTCGCCCGGCCCAATCAGGGGCCAGCCTTAAGAATCACATGTTGCTTTGAAACAGGAACTGACGCGTACGTCGGAGCAACGTACCACGCGGTTTCCGACTGGCTCACAATTGGACCTGAGGGTTCGTGGCCTTGGCCTTTTAGTCCATTGCTAGGTGACACCAAGCATATTGCGGAATTGAGAGCTTGGTTTGCATGGCATGCGGTGTGTTGAGTACGTTGGATGCTGAACCCTTTTGTGTTTTTACGAGGCAAGAAAACGCACAGGCGAGACCCCTGGGACCGGCGTTAGGCTTGGGAAACCGCGCTGGTGGCGCCAGGCACCGCTAAAGCGATAGGGCTCTGCCACTGCTGAGGGCTACCCGCGCTAACGCCTGATATTGCGTTTCGCTTGTTCGTCTTTTGTTGTCTCGTTATGATTGGGGTTCCGTGTTTTCGGGGGTTTATTTTTACGAAATTTTGGTGGTGATTATTTGGGGTATTTTATTTTCGTACGGATTCGGTGTTTTTCAGTGTCAATTTTTGGTGCAGGACGAGAGATCGGTGTTTATCGGGTCCTACAGTGAAAACACAGTCACGGTGACGGTTTAGCCTTTCTTCTCTTTAAGCATCCATTCAATCAGGACGTGACTTGATTTCCTTTGTCTTCCCACAGATAGTTAAAAGGCATATGATATTCAGCACAGAAGTATTCCTAATTGACTTTGAAGTCCACCGCCTCGTACATCACTCAGCTCTTATTCGAAACGGTGTTCATAACACGCAAACACAGCCTGCTTTTTTTTGCAGACAAAAAAGAAAACTGCATAGGTTTGCGTATCGGTTTCCAAGATATTTAATAAAAATCAGGTTGTAATAAAATAAGGATGCCTTATGGGTTACGAACATGTGGGGGTTGGAGCTGTTGTCAGACAGAAATAACGAAGAAAAAAAAGGTAAATGTACTGAACGCAAGACCGTTAACGTGGACATTCGATCGCCGCTAACTGTGTAGTGTGCTTATTTTTTCCTAAAGGTTATCGTAAAAACTACTGGCGTGCTTGAAATGGCTGATTTCGGGCAATAATTCAAGCGGATAAGTGTGGTGCCCACCAATACTATTTGTAGGTAAAAGACAGAAAATAACCAATGTCGTGTTGGCACCAACCGCGTAGCGCATGCAGTCTACTACATGCATGCGCAAGGTTTACTTTAATTAATTTATTTATAATATAGTGTTCTACGGGTGAACACGTCGCTCCATTTCAATGAAAACGCTTCTGCTATTTTGTGACTATTGTTCACGTGCCTTGTCGAAGCGCTGTGACGCCGTTCATGTACTTCTTCCTAAACACAGGCATGATATCCAAGGTTGCGTGTTTTTTTGTCTTTTTTTAATTTTTTTATTTGGAAACTTGGCCTCTGATCTTGTTTCCTTCGTTTATTGCTTGCGGGACCTTTCAAAGTATTCTGGGCACGAACATGTTCTTTGGAGGAAGGGGAAACTGCATACCGATGTCCTGTTTCATCAGCGAAGAGAAATTTAGTCAAAGCGATATTTAAATACTCATATAGGCAGAGCTGCAGCTTTTATGAAAACACTCATATGGATTTAGCCAACGATGTTCAAGTCCGCTGACGCACCTTCTTGCTCAACATCGAAGTAGGAAAGCTTGTTTAACTTTGTTTAACATTTTTATATAGGTAAAACGGCTGTAGGTGTATGTTTTTGTCCTAGCGTACGCTGCAATTTAGTTTAATCAGACTAGTCTGCATCGAATGCACAAGGTATCTCATGCACTCGGAATAATATTCGCTCAGACATAGCTCAATTCCCCTAAAGGGGGTACGGGTAACAGGCTCCCAAATATATGTTTATTGTAAATAATATTAGCTTTATGGGTAAAGTACCGCTGCGAAAAAAGTTCCTCCTTCTTGAGGTGCATTCAAGGTTCGATTCGTAGGTGCCACAAACCCTTTCTGGGCCGCTTTCTAGAGTGTGCAAAGCGAACCAGTGGCGGAGCCACTATGCCCTCACCTCGAACAGCACCTCGGATGACTGCGTGAAGAGGCAGACGGCGAGGTCCCCCAGCGCCAGGTTGAAGATGAAGAGGTTCACCCGGGAGGCCCTCTTGACGATGCGCGGCCTGGACAGGACCACCAGAATGGCCAAGTTGCCGGTCAGCGTGAAGAGCATGATGATGGACAGTGTGGCCACACGCTGGATCAGCGGCCCGTCCCACACCACGCCGTCCGGGTAGACACGAGTGCCGTTCCAAGAAGAGGGGCCGGAGAAGGGGACGCCCGCCGGCACGCCGCCAACGCCCCGCTCGGCACAGTCGGCCATTGAGACCTTAGCCAAGCCCCGAGGAATCCGGAGCGGACGCAGGGTGGTCGGTCGCCTTCATGGCGAGACGGTGGAGTCTGCCGACGCGGCAGCGCATCTGTGAGAAAGTAGGGGCGGGACATTACAGGAGTTATGGGCATGGAGGCTAATATAAACAACAACACCAGCAACAACACCACCACAACCAACAGCAACAACACTAACACCACCACCAACAAGAATACCACACCACCAACAACAACAATACCACCAGAAAGAACAACAACAGCAACAACAACAAAAACAGCCACAACAACAGCAGCAACAACCACCACAACAATAAAACAGCATCAACAACAACAGCAACAGCAGCAAAAAAAACATCATGATCATCATCATCAACAACAACAACAACAACAATAACAACAGCAAGAGCAACAACAACAACAACAACAAAATCATGCCTGTCTTTTTGTACTGCAAGTGTTCTAAGATTGTTTTTTCAGTAACGATACTTGAGTAGACATGCAAGTGCTTCATAATTTGTCGTGTCTGTTATTCCCGCTCAACTGAAAGCGAATGCCTCGTTCTTATGGCGATTTCAAATGCACAACATTCATAGGGCCAGCTCTTAGCACTTTCGCACCCAGGGGATGTAGCCCCTTTGTCAGGTGCTTTTATGCGACTTTTGTCTCTCGTCCTCCTCCACCCCCACCCCCGATCTTCAAATGGCTAATGAATACGAATACAACTGGTGACGTCACGTTGATGACGTCACGGTGTCCATGTGACGCCATCAGCACTTGAAAAAGGTTCACCGCGACGTCATCATGTGAAGACCCTGACGAATTCGCTGTGCTCGAGTGAATCGATGAAGGGATGATTGTTGTATTTCTAGTGGAAGGATGAATCTGTTGGTACGTCGCACCAAACGTTTCTCGCCACCACGCTCAATTGTTTAATATTGAAGGAAAAAGTAACATTTCTTATTCATATTATTTTTAAACACTCATCGGGCGCAGAAAGGTGGTGTTAACTTTTTGTACACGTTGCCAATGCCAAAGACGTGAAATCTCAATATTAAAAGAAGTAACAGAAACCATCCGCATAAATACATAGCGCGTGTCAAAACTAGGAATCTACAGCATTTTCACGTGCACCATAGCAAAAAAAAAAAAAAAAAAACCTCACGCATCAAGTTTTTTGTTACCCGTGATCCTTGGCCACTTTTATTTTGGATATGTGCCGATAATTGAAGGACAACAACAACCGTTATTATATGTCGCCCCTACACAGGCGACAGACGTGTAGGGTTTGTTCCGCAAGATGTAGAGTTTACATCTTGGCGGAACCAACGAGGGGCGGTAAACTGCGATGTTGAATTGCAACCTTTACAAAGAAATTGTGCCAATGTGGCAATATTATATTTATGTGAACCATATAAAAGAGTGCGGAAGGCGTTTTCTTTTTTTATGCACATCACTGGCGAGCGTTCACATTGAAACACTAGGGCCGTTTAGCAAACCGGTACCGTTCGCTACGCGGATAACGGCCACGGTTAGCTGAAAGTTCTTATTATGTTGCGAACATAATTTAAGTATAAATAAAATAACAAACAAATTATCACCGTTTATAGTACTCACTCTCCTTTTTATAAATCTGGTGTTCGTTGCGATATAGCTTTTCCATGTCCTAGATGTACTGCACATGCAAAAATATGTTTTTGCGCACGCGTGGAACATGACAAACACATACAAAAGAGCTTAGTAACACAGGTTAATTCACAAATTTAAAACATGCGAAACTAAAAGAAAAAAAAATGTGTGCGACATCTTTTTGCATTTATTTGAAAGTCTCAAAAGCTAAATTTTTAAAGGGCCATTACAATATTTCTTAAGTTTTCATGGTTATAAAAAGAAGAAATGTAGATTTTACAAACCGTTAATAGTTACGCTCTCGATATTCTAAAGCATAGGCATTCCAAATTTAGTTCGGTTAGAGCAATGTTAAAACAACAATTTATATGCGCAAACTGTGAAGATACCTTAAATTTAGAATAAGAGAAATACACGCTCGGATATTACCAAAGATAGGCAGCCATACCTTTTCGCGGTGTAAAAAAATATATTTTTTTTTTTTGTTGAGAAATTGAAGCTAACAAAGATTGCGACAGAGAGAAGGCTGGGCCTACTTCTCAATACAAATAGGATGGCAAGAAACATCACAATTTGAAGAACCGCGCAAACGAAAATGGCTGAAATTTGTGTTTTTCGGGGTCGCCGAGATTTTTTCAAATGCGTACTTGAATGGTTTCTCGATCATATTCTGTCCTTCGTTTTTTATACATAAAATTCAAAGACAATAATACACAAAAACACGAAAGCACTTTTTTTTTTAGCAAAACATTATAAGTTTTTGGCCCGGACGTCTCCTTAAATTAGACTTCATTTTGTCGGTGTCAGTAGCCTACTATTAATACAGGACACAGCACGTAAAATTGTTGAAGTTGAGGCGGAGAGTTTTTTTTCTGTTAATTGAAACTTTTGACAATACAGGATTGTCATGGTGCTGAGGCAAAACGTGACAGTAAGTCACCTGACCAGGCCCTTAGCACCAGACTACACTTGATGCAGGAGATGCATCAGGCAGACTAGTGGTACAGTGTTACAGTTAACCAGAAACAAAACAAAAAATACACAGATAGTAACTAGATCACTACACTACATATGCCCTTGCAATAAAAAATAAACAAGCTACAACATACAACAAAAATATATGACCTAGATTACTACAATTACATTTGTACACATAATTTAGAAGACAGCAATATCATGCGGAAAGTAGAAAATATGTTTTGGATTGTTTTCTGAAAGTCGAGGGGTTTGAATTATGATCGATTATATCGATCAAACCAGGATGGAGGTTGAGAAGATTAGGAATCTGTCAAGAAAGTAATTGCGTACCCTAATTTGTTCTAGATCTGATTTTTATAAAGTTTACATTTCTAAAATTGTAGTGTGCATCAGTACTGGTATCTGTAGAAAGGAATAATTCGAGCGAACTATCAGCTGACGCATAGGCTTTCATCTTTACAACTCCTCCAAAGTTTACCGCGACATCACGTTCATTACGCTGAAGGCAATCACAAAACACTGAGGCCCTCCGCAGTCTGTGCGGTAGAAGCTAACGCACGTCTCGTTTTACTAATTCGGCGGAAGAAATTGATACCGGAATTGAACCGTCCATCAGAGTCGAGGCAAGTGAGCGAAGAATTCATTCTTTTAACCGGCGTTTCGCAGAGCGCGCTATTTGCAGACTAAATCGATGAACGATGGGCGCGAAGATGAGGTAGAAAACTATAAAAAGACAAGGAATATGAATGAAACGACGCAAAGGCTAATTTCTGGCGAAGAGAGCTCTTACGCGTTCGGTGAAGCGTGTTGCAACGTATGACTATCGGCAGAGTCGTTTCGTGGTCTTAAGAAACGATCCGACTACGCAAGTGCACGCAAGAAACGTAAAACAGAAACGCTTCTGTGACAGGGACAGAGCCAGAAATATGCGAATGGTTAGGAGCTTAGGACCAAAGAATAAATCCGGATTTGACTAATAGGCAACGACTACCTCTCCCTGGTTTTCCTCTCTTTGAACATATCGCAGATTAATCCATGACATCAAAACACGACTGATAGCCCCGTAGAACTTGAAGTGGATTACGCCGGAGTATCGCAACGCCATCCCCCCCCCCCTCCTCTTACGACTGAAAGCAGATTATGCCGGACCATGTCGACACGACTAAATTTTTTCTTACGAGAACACGGAAAAACACGTTTGGTTGTTCCACGTAAGCCAGCGGTGTCGCGATGGCCCGCCGAGCTGTACGTTTAGTAATAACGTGACTATGTGTCGCACTTCAGAATTAGTCGTGACGAGTCATTCCGTCGTAATTTGATATTCCGTTATATTACCCGCTTAGTCGCGATGCGATCATCCATCGTATTACTCGCTTAGTCGTGACGCGATTTTCCATCGTAGACTATTTCACTTATGAAACCGCTCACTTAGTTGAAATACGCATAGCTTCAAACGGAAAAAGCGTTTATCATGTTGTGTATGTATACTTTAAAGTTAGTACGCCGTCTTTTCCGAGCAGACAAATTTAAGTATCTGGAGTTTGCTTTTCTTCGGCACTGTCGTAGGATAGATCGATCCGTGGGGTTTACTGTAGGCAGGACTGGAAGTGTTTGGGGTTTTTTCACGCATGTTTTAGTGTCATAAATTGCGTGGCCAGCTTTCTGGGAAATTCCGTAAAAAAAAAAAGACTCAAGGAAATATCAAAATTCTAATTGATTTGCGTTCTATGCTAGGCACGTAGTGACAGTTCTCGGGAACACTGCGAGCTTTTGTCAAGAAAAGCAAAAGGATAATTTTGTGCACCTGGTCCATAGGATTTATTGCTAATAAATTTGTAGAGCCGTGAAATAAAAACTATAGGTGTCCAAAAGTTTAATTCCTGCGTACTGATATTTTATGACACCCATCCAAGATATACGCGGGAAAAACTGCGATATTTATTGTTTCTCAGTTAAAATTTTGATTTTAGTGCATGCACCGGGGCGTTAATGTCCAAGAAAGTTGGGTATGCTTGCGTTGTTTTACAGGCCACGAAAAGAATTTTATCTAAAAGGGAAAGCTACAAAGACAAAACAACAACTTGCGTTTCAGTAAACATGATTATTCTTAACGTGTGATGTCTGTAAAACCAAAAAAACTAAAATGATTAAATTAACTCGGGAAGAGTCTAAAATAATGTGTTTAGTGGTTATTATATTAAGATGCATGTATTAAAAGATGAACATTTCTGTTACCTTCATCTCATTTCTCATTTCGCCGAAAAACCCCACGAGAAAGGCCAAACAGATGTATTTTAGCGATGTTTTTTTAAATTTCATTTGTCTTTTAATTTCTATGCCTTTTAATTGTTCTGTTTTATTGATTATATTTCCATCTATTCCTTGAACTTTGCTCTGCGGGTTGAGTACCGGGA